AGGTCAGCGTTTACTACCTGCTTCACTAATACTGAAATTACTTATCAAAAATTCTTTAGAAACATCAGTCAGCTTTCATACCTATGACAGGTAAAATACTTTGACCAAATTATAATGTTAAAAGGAACAAGTTCTTCCCCCCTATCAGTCACTGTGAGCTCGAAATTGTTAGCATCATTACTTCAAGTGGTCGAAATTCACTTTTGCGAACAATTTGCTTAATTACTTTCTTTGTGTGAAAAATTATATTTAAAGGAATTGTTTGTAAATAGGTATGCAACACATCGTACACTTCAGCATAAGAAATTGCTAATACTAACTACGTAATGCTACTTTTATATATAATATTCATACATACTAATTTTATTTGGCCACATATTCGTAGAATTACCAAAAGTAACTTTAATATCGAGTGGTTAATAATTGCGGAAGCTTTATTTTTTTGTGAAGGCTATAATTTAATTNGAACGTACATTGTGGAAATAGACATCAACTGTGTAATAATGCTAAAGAACATCGAACTAAAAAGTGATAATCATCCAAAGTTAGTGTTTAAAAATATTGAACTGCCAAAATTAAATTTTGTGTTTAAAAATGATAATGACTTCTCCGTCAATTTCGAATTATTTACACTCAAACCTGTTGGTCTAAATAATATTAGAGAAATACAAAATGCATTGAGTTTACAAGAGAAGAATATAAAAGAATTAAATGTGCCAAATATAAGCATTCATAAGGCCAGTGTTTGGACAATCACCCTGTATATCATCATAGTGCTACTGTTACTGTTCTATGTGTTTAAAAAAGCTTCGCTAGCAAAACTAAAGAAGATAAAGGAAAAAGAGAATGAAACAATTATAGTCTAAATCTAAATTCGCAAGCTCTCATGGACCTTGGCTCATATCTACGTCGGGAGGAGTTATATTCACCTATATTTCACACGCTAAGCATTGAGTATTATATTACTCGTATGTTCTATGTATTGCATTAAATCTAATGCCTCATCATTTTTTTTATATATGTATTATGTATTTTCATTTTTTATGTGTAGAGAAAAGAAAGAATAGTTTTTAGAGTAAGTTACTTTTCATCCTTCTAATAAGGAAGTCGATTGTAATTTCTAGTTTTTAATAAACGTTTTTAAAAACAAAGTTTCAAATTCCCGAAACTTAATTCGCATATCGTCGGCAATTTCAGTATCAGCAAAAGAAATTAGGTAATAAAAACAAAAATAGTCCATAATATATTTTTTGTGATCGTTAACTTGTTGAATCCATTTTCATCATCAACATTTATTGTTTCGACCATATGGTACTTGGTTATAATTTACTACAATAGGAAGCAATTTACATTCTGTGATAAGTTAGTTTTCCATTATATAATTCCTTATCGAAATGAGTTACAAAACACATACTGGTACCCCAGAAAAAGCTTCAGTACTACTATATTAATTTATTTTTACTTCTGGACTGTCTGTTACTTATTTTACTAATTAGAATCTTAACTAGGTAAAATGTTATTGTAGTGGCGACTTAAAACTACAAAACGATCTGTCATATTATCAAATGTATTTACAAAATGTATGCATTTGATGGACGTGCATTACTTCTATCATCTTTTATCGCTTTTTATTAAGTCAGCGACCCCCTTCATTAATTCAATGTTTATAGTGCCATCTACTTAGTGGAGTGTCCGATGTCACACAATTAAAAGTGTGACTCACTAAATAATTCATCAATCATTTAAGGCAACTTGGGCTTACAATGAAAGAGGGTTTTACAGGGGATAATATCTATTAGTAGCTGTGAGTAGTAATAATAATTATCATGGAACAAAAAGATGAAGGACTACTTATTAAAATTATGTGTGTTGTTACATTATCTAATTGTATGTTAAATCTTTACTGCAGTTGAAATCTTCGGTAGTTAATATTTATGAGCAGTAATCTATTGTAGGTCTTTCTTCCTCTCATATGTTCTAACTAGTTCTTGATGTCCTATACTTCGTTTACTTTCTGTAGCGATATGACCTTCAATTTAACCGGCGCAAAGTAGAAAAGAATAGCACTAGGCCAGAAAAGAAAGGATACAACTCTCGGCCAAACTCATAAACGGTGAGGAGCGTATAATCCGTACAGTACTGTACGGAAAAATTGACCATTTTATCCACTACAATTGCATTGCTCAAATGTGCTGTTATTGTAACCATTTACTACTGAAAATATCAACGAGATGTTTATTTGTATTTGAAGATATATTAAAGGCTTTAACGCTTGTTTTCGACTCGCACTACTATTCATGATTGAACAAAACTTCTGGCAGGTACTGTATGAAAAAGTATGTTTAATCAACAAGAGTCGAGAGTATAATGAGCTTTTTTCTCCGCGTGCATCCAAGACATTCGAAGGGGCACATCGCTAGAGAAAGTAAATGAAGTATACCATACTACCTTTCCTTTTCTTTATTGACCAAACAAAAATTGTTCAAATTTCTAAAAATTAATCGTTGGTGGGCACAGTGATTTCTTATTTGTCATTTGTGTCTTTACCATCCTGACTTATCCTACTTTAAATTGTTATTTTGCTTCTAATAAATATTTTTAAACCATATACAAATGTATTACCAAAATGTACTGTTCGTACAATATCTTTTGTCGAAGTAAGTGTTAAGTATATCGCAAATAGCATTCAGTTGCTGATTACGGAATAAGTGATAAATAAATACAAAACAGGAAAGGACAAAAAGATAAAAATAACGTACTTAGAGAACCTACATACTGATTTAATCATACGGGAGAAAACTTAAAATTTTCGTTCAGTGACTTGTAGAAAACGAACTCTATTTGTTTATTATTTTTTTCTCTTTAATTAACTTATCTTCTAACAATTGAGTTTAAAATTCTTGGGCAAATATTATAGTTTGAACTAGATTCGGTAGAAGTTATATTTTTGGCTCTCATCAAACAACAAATAGTATAATTAACCTCTTATCTATTGTTACCTGGTGGCATCTTTCACTGATAACAGTTTTTGGTAAACACACTATCAAGAGGGAAGATTTTAATAATGCTAATACGTATTTTCATACAAAACTACAGCAGATCATAAATCATATATATTTTAATATATGGTGAAAATCATATTCTTTTCATTACTTTACATTAATTTTTCACTTGCAATGTTGTAACCGCTCAAATTATAGAATAATTGGTATAAAACATGTGTAAATCTGTCTTAAATTATGTGGTGTATCTTTTTCTTTCTTTTTATGCGTTTCATTACCTGAGTGACTCTCTCAGGGGCGCTTGTTCAAGATTTTCTCCGGTCTTATGGATATGTATTATTCGTTTCGGTTTTCACAGCACTTCAAAACCTTTGGAGTTTGGAGTGCTCTCGCATTGAAGTCTCTGAAGAATAACAGTCTTGTCCAAACATTTAATCTAGGCGTACTGTATTTTAAAAGGTACTTGTACAAAGCACCGTCCATTCGAAATTGTTGGTTTTTCTGTATTTACATTGCTTCAGAAGAAAGGTGCATAATTATGGATATATTGTATTCCTTTTCAGTTAGTATCTTCTTGAATGATAAAGCGAAATATAAAAGTAAACACTGAAATGAGAGGAGATAAATTAGTGGCCTGAAATTTTTTTGTATATAATCTATAAAATATTTCAAAATTGTTTTTTTTTTTCGCAGATAGGTACATATTAATAATTCTATAAGATTATAAGTTAGAGATAGCTTTAAATAAAATGGAAGCGGTACTGATAAAACAGTACTCTATGAAAATAAATAAAAGTAAAATTAAAATACCGGTATGCTGGTATGCAAACAGTAGGGAAAGAGCGAATATAAAGACAGGAGACGAAAAGTTAGAAGTGACTGATTTTCGGTATCTAGGAAGTCAGATAACTCAGGATAGAAATAATTAAGAATTTGGGATGTTCTAGTTTAAGGGAAATGCGAAAATTAGCTGAGTATAGCAAAAAGTAAAGGTGCGTGTCCAACCAATCTTAGGACTGACGACCTTATAATGATGATGAAGATTATAGGGAGTAAAATTTTATTTAATAGGCTTTTAGTATACTTATCGTGTTATGGATATTTATATTGTGTATGTTTCAATAAGAACATCGACCTCGTAAAAGCTTTCTAGAGGGAAAGGGTTAATCAACTTGTGGCTGACGGAAGGAAGTTATTATTTGCGATATTTTTTTTATTGAAAGAAGCATACATTTTTCGATAGAATTAACATTGATAAGATTACAGTAGCAAAATCAACGCGAATGAAGTACATATATTGTCTGATATCATGATCTAAGATATTAAGGGTTGTTAGCGGTGGCTTTAACAACAATGATACGTGTACATATATCTAGAAGCGATATCGTTGAAACAAAAATTAAAAACTGATGCTAGGTGATGCGGATCTTTGGCCTTTAAACCCGAACGAAAACAGCATCAGTTCACCTACTGGCCGCGAAAGCCTTTATCAAAAATTAAGAAGTTTGATGGTAAAGCGCAAATTTTCCTATTTTTATTAAGCATTAAATTGAGCTAAATACTTAAATTTTAACAATTAGATATTACTTTTTCCGAGCGTCTTGGCAACATATGTATCTATAGCTTGACTAATAGTATGAAATAGAAATTTAAAATTAGACACAAGGAGAGATATTTCATTTCGTAACAGGAAGAAAATAAGTAAGTGTATTCTTTTTATAGTTTGCATTTTTGTTACATTTCGTTTCTGTACTTTGGGGGGCGCCAAGGTTATACAAGTCGGAAAAAAAGTATTAGATCTAGGATACGCGAATAGTAATAAGTAATTATGGGTATATTTTTGTAATAAAAAATAGCACCCTCTACTTATAAATATGATTAACATCATTATTTATTATTTATCTAGAAAATATCAATTAGTAAGTAGCTTAAAACCCATTACAGTTTTATTTCATTATTTTTGTCGCTTATACTTATATAAATTGTCTTTTTTTTCAGTTATACCTTACCAATATTCAGAAAAGGGTACAGTAAAACGCTAGACGTGGATGATTTGTACAATCCATTAAACAGCGACAGAAGCGAATTATTAGGGGATAAGTTGGAAAGGTAAGACTTTTCTTGTTTTCATTTTTATCAAAGGTAATTTTTTCACGTATATAATTTTCTGACAAAGTGCATAACATCTGCGAATCACTTAACAATAACTTATAGTGAATTTCCGAGCCGAGCGATTTGCGTTTTATAAACAACTTCACAAGGTTACAATAATTTAAAAAATAGAAGTGTAATAAACCTAAATTTAGATGCCATTGTTTAAACGCAATTAATTGTAAACCGTTTTGATAATCGATTTTTTATTAAACCGCAATTAGTTTCACTTCAAACAAAAATGCGATACCTATGCACATATCTATCGGGAGTTCGAAAATTGAATAATATGCACCTATATAGTAAAAGTTTCTCTAGTAATTTATTTAGGTTTGGGAAGAAAAGTCACTTTCGTTCTTTGGTTTGTAGAATAGATTTAGTAAATTTTAGAAGTTGAAAATCTANTCGAAAATTGAATAATATGCACCTATATAGTAAAAGTTTCTCTAGTAATTTATTTAGGGTTGGGTAGAAAAGTCACTTTCGTTCTTTGGTTTGTAGAATAGATTTAGTAAATTTTAGAAGTTGAAAATCTAGAAAAGTATAGTAAAGTAGATTTATCAATTAACTGATGAAAATGTAAGGGTTGTTTTTAAAGGTAGGGAGGGTTGACTGTTGATTGACGTCATTGTTACTTAAAAAAGTCAGCTCTCGATAATTGAAGTGTATTTTATACTTTTCGTTATATACATTACGAATTGTATTTATTAAGGAAATATAGATATATAAGATATCAATAAACATATGTATTGCTATTGAAAATATGATACATGATATGATTCTGTTTGTCTATAATTTTAATTTTTGTTATTAATTTTATAATTCCACGTGGTTGTAAAGCAGAATTATTTTAGGAACTGGAAGAAGCATTTGGCGAACGCTAAAAAGAAAAACAGCACCCCTAGTTTATTTAGAGTTCTGGTAAAAACGTTTTGGCCAGAATACTTACTCATAGGGTTAGTGCTTGTCGTCCCTGATATGCTCATCCGGCTTCTGCAGCCGCAACTTTTAGGTTTACTTTTAGACTATTTTAAACCCGGTACTGACAAAACAAAAGAAGACGCCTTTTATTATGCAGGCGGGATAGTATTAATGAATGCTATGAGTGCATTTTTCGTAAACCATCACATCATGCAGTCTTTCCACTACGGAATGAAAGTAAGGGCAGCATGCTGTGCCCTTATTTATAGGAAAGTGAGTACCTACACTATTAGATAATTTAATAAAACCACCATGCCCCTAAAATATTAAAATCGTAAAATTTTCTAGAACTACAAAAATTGATAACAGTAATACTTTCATAATAATAAAAATGAGATTCCATAAAATCTCTAAACGTTTAATCGTTGTTATTTTTCATCATTTTATAAAACATTTATTTTCAATTGAGAAAGCAATCAACTTAATCTCGATAGATAATTTGGCTCGTTCTTAGACGACTTCTCTCCCCGATGTAATCATTGATTAATCGTCAACAATACTCTTTGTAGGCCCTTAAATTAAGTAAATCGGCATTAAGTGATACAGCTTCGGGACAAGTGGTTAATCTTCTGTCCAATGATGTCAGTCGTTTTGATATTGTATCAATATTTATCCATCACATGTGGGCTGCTCCACTGACCGCTACCATTGTGGCCTACTTGACATACAGTCAAGCAGGCTTTGCAGGACTCATTGGGATTATTCCTATTATGTTCATAATGCCTTTACAAAGTAAGTTTAACTTGAGAAGATCTAAAGTCAAATCAAATTTTTCTTATCAAGGAATAATCTGTTAAAAAATCGTTTAAGGTTACACGGGTAAATTGTCTTCCATTTACCGAAGAAAGACTGCATACAAAACTGACGAAAGAATTAGACTCATGGATGAAATAATATCCGGAATCCAGGTGATAAAAATGTATGCCTGGGAAATCCCCTTTAGTAAAATAATACGGCACGCCAGAAGGATGGAAATTAAAATCATAACAAAACTGTCTTATGTTCGAGCTTTGTTTATGACTTTTAATTTGTTTACAACAAGAGTCGCCTTATTCTGTGCCCTTTTAGCCATTGTGTTAACAGGGGAAAAAATTACTGCATCTAAGGTACAGCGCATTCAAAAAAAAAATTAACTGGATGCAATAATTTTTTAAAAAATTTCAGGTGTTTGTCTTTACGGCCTACTACAACGTCATTGCTCAGTCGCTGACGGCTATGTTTGTTAGAGGCATTTCAGAAATAGCAGAAGTTCTGGTGGCCATCAAAAGATTACAGAACTTCATGTTGAATGAAGAATTTGTTGAAATCAAAAAAGCCGTCAATGGAGAAATTAAGTACAACAATAATAACGAAGCTATTTGTCTCAAGAATGCCACGTCGAAATGGAATCCTGACTTATCTGACTGTGCTCTGAATAATATAAATATTTCAGTGGAAAAAGGAAAATTTTTGGGTGTCATTGGACCCGTAGGAAGTGGAAAAAGTTCGCTGTTGCAAACAATATTAGGTATTTGTACAAATATGTAAACCATACATATTTTTTGATGTCAAAAGAATCACGAATCTCAAAAAGCTCTTAAAAAATCATGCGTTATCGTGGATTGTCCAATTTATGTTTTTACAGCATTGCTTGTGGTTATTTATTTTATTATTTTTTCCCCATTAAACATTCCGTTCGTAATGGGTTTTCTTCGGTACCTTTTTAGGTGAATTACAAGTATCAAGCGGAACCATAGACGTAAATGGTACGCTTTCGTATGCGTCTCAGGAGGCGTGGGTGTTTGCTGCAACCATTCGTCAAAATATTCTTTTCGGCCGTGAATACAATAAAAAAAAATACGAAGAAGTCGTAAAAGTGTGTGCGTTGGAGACCGATTTCAAGCAATTTCCAGACGGCGACTTAACATTAGTTGGAGACAGGGGGGCGTCTCTCAGCGGCGGTCAGAAAGCCAGAGTAAATTTAGCTCGAGCCGTTTACCGAGATGCTGATATTTATCTCCTCGATGACCCTTTATCAGCAGTGGACACGAGGGTTGCAAGGCATTTGTACGAGAAATGTATAAACGGATATTTGGCATCGAAAACGAGAATATTGGTCACTCATCAGGTCTATTATTTAAAGAATGCCAGTCATTTGGTCATTTTAAATAACGTAAGCTGATAAATAACTAAGTTGAAAACCATTTGAAAATCATTTTCGATCCTTTTTAGGGTGAAATTGAAGCTCAAGGAAGTGTTAACGAAATTTTAAAATTAGGCAACGAGTATGCGAAATTGATAAAATCCGAACCGCCACCGGAAGACAAAGAAAAATCAGAAGATAAGCCAAATAAAGGGGTCGAAATACAAAAGATAAATAGGCAAATGTCAATGAGGGTAAGAATTTTTTACAATGAATTCAGTCAAGAAGAAAAACCTGTACAATTTGAATTTTTAAATATTAAATATATGGTAAATAATTTTTTGTTTCTTTCTATATCCCAGAGTAGAACATCGTCTATTGCAAGCACAAGAAGTGAAATTAGCATCGTGGACGTTATTCTGCAGGAGGAAAACGAAGAAGAAACCGAAACCAAAGATTTCGGACTGAAAGAGCAACATGAAGAATCATCAAAGGGCAAAATTAAGGGGTCTCTCCTGTTTAGATATATGTTAGCAGGGGGAAACGTTTTTGCCGTTAGCTGCGTCATAGCCCTCTTTATTTTAGCCCAAGGGGCAGCCAGTGGCGTCGACTGGTTCGTCAGTTACTGGACCAATATCGAAGAATACAGGAATTCTACAATTTCTGCAAATGTCAACTTAAGAGAACTTCCAACGTCTACTTGCTTGTACATTTACGGCAGTCTGATAATCAGTTTGTTATTGATAGCACTTGTAAGATCCTTCTCGTTTTACAAATTAGTTATGAACAGTTGCACCAATCTTCATCATGCCATGTTTGATGGTGTGGTGTATGCGAGTATGCGATTTTTTGATACGAATCCTAGTGGAAGGATATTAAATCGATTTTCAAAGGACATTGGGAGTGCCGATGAACTATTACCGAAATGCATCCTTGATTCATCTCAGGTAATTTTGTTCGTGGAGTTCTTAAATTAGAATATTTTTGTTCTGAACATTTTTTTTTATTTTTCTTCTTATTTTGAATGTTTATTTCGTTTTACAGATTTTGTTAATAATGGCTGGTTCCTTAATTCTGGTAGCAGTTGTTAACCCTTTATTCCTCATTCCTGTTGCTATTATTGGCGTTATTTTTATGATTTTGAGGTCAATTTTTTTGAAATCGTCCAAAAATATCAAACGTTTAGAAGGAATAAGTAAGTTCATACGCAATTTTCAATTAAAATCAGATTATTATTTTTCGTTATTGTCCATGTTTAATCCGTTAAATTCTATCATTAATGTAATTGATATTTTTAGCGCGCAGTCCAGTATTCACACATCTCAATGCCACCCTTCAAGGACTAACCACGATAAGAGCATATGGGGCTCAAACAATTTTGAAGGAGGAGTTTGATAAACACCAAGATCTACACACAAGCGCATGGTTCATGTACATTGCAGTCAGCTCGGCTTTTGGTTTCATTCTCGATTTGTTTTGCACCGCATTTACAACATTGGTAACCCTCAGTTTTCTGACTTTTGGAGAAAGTAAGACATTGCTATTATTAATCAATCCATTAATGGAAGTATTATAAGTATTAAGGACGTAAATTTCAAATCACTGTACTCTTTTAGCACTTCTGGGGGGCCAAGTAGGTCTTGCAATAACTCAAACAACCTCCCTTACTGGGATTGTTCAGTGGGGGATGAGACAGTCTGCAGAAGTGGCAAATATGTTAATGTCCGTCGAAAGGATGTTGGAATACACAATAATTCCTCCAGAAAAACAACCGGAAAAGCCTATAAAACCGCCCAAGGAATGGCCACAAAATGGGAAAATAAATTTCAAAAACATGGGACTTAAATATGTAGAAACAGGTCCATTGGTACTTAAAAATCTTAATATCTCCATTCAGCCAAAAGAAAAGGTACCTAATTCGAATCTTGAAGTTAAATAATTTATGTACTATACTTCTTTCTTGATACCTAGATTGGAATCGTGGGAAGAACAGGTGCAGGAAAATCCTCCTTGATAGCCGCTCTATTCCGATTAGCAAAAGTGGAGGGTGAAATAGAAATTGATGCCATCGATACGAAAAACGTCATTTTACAAGAACTGAGATCGAAAATAGCAATCATTCCTCAGGACCCTGTCTTATTCTCTGGTACCCTCAGATACAATTTGGATCCGTTTGAAGAGTTCCCAGACGATTTATTATACAAAGCTCTAAACGATGTAAATATTAAAAACATTTTATGGGAGTTAATAAACTAAAAAATATTTATTTAGGTGGAATTGAAGGACCCCATGAATATCATCAACAGATTGGAAAACAGAGTAATGGATAGAGGAGCAAACTACAGTGTGGGACAACGACAACTTATTTGCCTTGCACGAGCAATTGTTCGAAATAACAAAATACTAATGTTAGATGAAGCTACAGCAAATGTTGACCCACAGTTAGTTGTTTTAATAGTATATTAGTCGATAAATAATTAAAGCAAAACTTTTTTGTTTACAGAACTGATGCATTAATTCAAAAAACCATACGCCAAAAGTTTGCCGATTGTACGGTCTTGACGGTGGCACATCGTCTTAACACGATCATGGATTCTGATAAAGTTTTAGTTATGGATAACGGCACCATGGTCGAATTTAATCACCCCTACATTCTTTTGCAAAATTCCAAGAGTGTTTTTTCCAAAATGGTCGCGGAAACTGGAAAATCTACAACAGAACAACTTAAACAGATCGCTAAAGTTAATTACGAACAAAAGTTTGGTGTTCCAGAATAAAATTGCGAGGTAAGTAAGCAAAAAAAGGCACTGATTACTTTTTACAATGCAGAATTGATAAAAGTCATTTTTGCTGTGCTATTTCGTGATTTTATTTCCTTTTGTTTAATACAAGACAATCAAAAATAATATTTTTAAAGGCCTACAGGGTATCGACTTTTTGTAAACTTCTACAAATGAAACGTTTTTTTTTTAATTACTAATAAGGGCAATGAATGTAATTGCTTTCTTTCTCGTCTTTTTAAATAATATTCATTTATATTTCACTGATTCTCGAAGATGCCTTAAAAAGCAGTAAATTAAGTGAATAATGAATAAAATAGTTTTTATTGAATCCAAAGAATTGTACAGAAGAGTATTGCAAGTTAATTAATATAGTNCCAATTACTACTGAAAATATCAACGAGATGTTTATTTATATTTGAAGACATATTAAAGGCTTTAAAGCTTATTTTCGACTCGCACTACTATTCATGATTGAACAAAACTTCTGGCAGGTACTGTATGAAAAAGTAGGTTTAACATAACAAAAGTCGAGAGTATAATGAGCTTTTTTCTCCCTACCTACGATTTTGCCAGCGTGCATCCAAGACATTCGAAGGGGCACATCGCTAGAGAAAGTAAATGAAGTATACCATACTACCTTTCCTTTTCTTTATTGACCAAACAAAAATTGTTCAAATTTCTAAAAATTAATCGTTGGTGGGCACAGTGATTTCTTATTTGTCATTTGTGTCTTTACCATCCTGACTTATCCTACTTTAAATTGTTATTTTGCTTCTAATAAATATTTTTAAACCATATACAAATGTATTACCAAAATTTATTGTTCGTACAATATCTTTTGTCGAAGTAAGTGTTAAGTATATCGCAAATAGCATTCAGTTGCTGATTACGGAATAAGTGATAAATAAATACAAAACAGGAAAGGACAAAAAGATAAAAATAACGTACTTAGAGAACCTACATACTGATTTAATCATACGGGAGAAAACTTAAAATTTTCGTTCAGTGACTTGTAGAAAACGAACTCTATTTGTTTATTATTTTTTTCTCTTTAATTAACTTATCTTCTAACAATTGAGTTTAAAATTCTTGGGCAAATATTACAGTTTGAACTAGATTCGGTAGAAGTTATATTTTTGGCTCTCATCAAACAACAAATAGTATAATTAACCTCTTATCTATTGTTACCTGGTGGCATCTTTCACTGATAACAGTTTTTGGTAAACACACTATCAAGAGGGAAGATTTTAATAATGCTAATACGTATTTTCATACAAAACTACAGCAGATCATAAATCATATATATTTTAATATATGGTGAAAATCATATTCTTTTCATTACTTTACATTAATTTTTCACTTGCAATGTTGTAACCGCTCAAATTGTATATAGAATAATTGGTATAAAACATG